TTTTTTTTTTTTTTTTTTTTATAATTTACAAAAGTAATTGTAAAATGAAATATGAGAAAAAATTTTGGAATGATAAGAGTAGAAAAAAAAACGAAAAAACATTGAAAGATGAGCATCATAGAAGTAATAAAAAATACAATAATGATGGATATAAATCACAAAATAGTAAATTAAATTCAACAAAATCTAATTACACATCTTTTTCTTATAACTTAAAAAAAAAAAATAATTATGATGATATGAAAAATAAATTGTCAGATAAACGAAATAATAAAAATGAATTTTTACAATCATTTAAAAAAACGATGAGGAATCAAAAATTAAATATGTCTGATAACAATTCAAAAAATAATAATTCATTTTATAAAGAAAAATATATAAGAAGCTCTGGAGAAAAATCAATGAAGTTTAACTTTTATGGTAACTATAATAATAGTAATAATAATAATTATAACAGTGATAATTATAATAATAGTAACGATAATAATTATAATAATAATAGTAATTATTATAGTAATAGTAGTGATAATAATAATGACAATAATGTTGATTCAAATAAAAAAGATATAAATGTTGAATCAAGTATCTTAAATAAAGATATGTACAATTTAATGTATTACCCATCAAGCATTGAGGAAAATAATTTAAATATGATTAATATGGGTCCTGTTAATAATAATGTAAATAATTACAATAACCAAGAAGAAAATAATATGGGTATGGTTATAAATGGGGTGGTAAGTAAATCCGATAATAATTTAAGTAACGAATATATTACAAATAAAAATGACGAACTAATTTATCAAAATTACTTACAAATGCAGAAGTATAATAATGCAAATAATGATTTTAAAACAAGTTTTAATAATTTTTATAATTCATATAAAATAAACAACATGAATAATGATATGAATATTAAAAATAAGAATTGTAATAATACATGGCCACCAGATAATGAAAATGATAATGTGTTAAATAAGCTATCAGACATTAGAAATATTCCTTTTAATAATTCAAATAATGGAAACAAGAATTTTTGTGTGAATGATAAAACAACTATGATAATTAATGAATTAAAAAAATGTTTAAATAACAATGAATCAAATGTATACTCTGAAAATAATAATAAACTGAATGAGTTAACAAATGATTATGCAGAGAAAAATTTTGCAAATGAAAATAGCAAATTTTTTTTAAATAATATAGCTTCTACAAATAAGATAAATAATAATAAAATATTAAATGAATATAATGATAACAGTAATAATAATTTTTTTACCTTGAATAATGAAAATACAGCATATTTACAAAATAATAAAGAAATGACATATAACAACAGATACAATTATATATTGAACGATAATAAATCTTTACAAGAATCTTCCATATCAAATGAAAGCAGTGTGGAAGATGTGAATGATTACGATAATATTGATAAGGCTAATTGTAATGAAAGAATATTTCCAAAAAGTAAAATTGAAGAATCTTTAAGAGTTTTAAATACACTACAAGTTGATATTGAAAGGGTATGTTGTTATATAAAACATTTTATAGATCCACCTGAACAATTATTTCAAATTATGACGAATGTATTTTTGGACAAAACAGTAACATTAAATTCTAAAATTGCCATATTTTATGTTTATAACCATTTAATTCAAGAATTAAGAAATAATTACAAAAATGATTTAAATAAATATAATTCAATATCTGAAAAGGGTCTCCAAATATTTGTAATTCCTGTTTTAAGATACATATTAGATGAGAAAATAAATATTGAAATGATTAATAAATTTTACAGATGCATTTCCATTTGGAATGAAAGAAATATTTATAGTAAAATCGTATGTGATCAGTTAAAATCTTTACAAAAAAATCCTCATAAAAAAATTGATTTAAAATTGAAGCATTTAGTCAATCAAGCACATAGTTTATTATCCAATGAATTTTCAAAGTTTCTTCCTTTAAATTTTATTTTAAAAATGCCAAGTATTAATAACGAGCATAAAAAAGCATTAGAAGATAAAATTTTAAATACTTTATTTAATAATTTATCTAAGGAAACTCTAAAAAGTTTTGACAATAATGATATTGAAGAAGCATCCAAAATATCAGATAAAGTAATGAGAATATTTGGACAAGAATTAATATTAATTAATTCACAGATGCTTGAACTATCATCCCTAATAAGCGATAACCACGAAAATTTAATAAAACTACAAAATTCAATGGAAAAGTTAAAAGAATGAAATATATTTTTTTTTTTTTTTTTTTTTTCATAAACTTTCAATTAAAATTTATCTAATTTATTTATTTAATTTATTTAATTTTTTTTTTTTTTTTTTTTTTTTTGGAAGTTCTTTTCATTTGTTTTTATAATTAAACATCTTTTTACATATTTAGTTATATATATATTTTATATGCTTGTTTTTGTTTCTTTTTCTATATTCCCCTATTTTAAAATTTTTTAAGTTAACTAGATTTTTATGTAAATCTTGAGTTTTAAAAATCAATTTTTTTTTTATTTTTTTTTTTTTTTAATAAACCAATTTTAATGGTATTTTTATTTAAATAAACATTGTTTCATTAATTTTTAAACGGAAAATTAAAAAAAAAAAAAAAAAAAAAAAAAAAAAAAAAAATTAACAATAAATAAAGAGAATAAAATTATTATTTAAAAATATAATTTCTGATTTTCTTTTTATATAATTGTCTTTTTATATTTCATCTATGTTAATTCCATTTCCTTTTCCATTCCCTATAAAAAAAAAAAAAAAAAAAAAAAGGAGAAATAAAATAAAATAACAATATTTAATAAAAATTAAAATAAAAATTTAAGAAATTTTAATATTATACGATGATGTCATTAGAATATTTAAAGATTGTGCTATAGATCGTTTCCACAATTCTCTTGTGTAATCGTCAAACAAAACCATTTTTATTTTTTTTTTTATAGTTCTTTCATTTTGTTTCACTTTATAATTTAATGAAATTATACTTTCAATGTTATTTAAAAATTTAATTCTGTTTAAATACTCGTTATTATATTTATGGACAATTTTTAATAAAAATTTATTGGCATATTCATATCTTTTTTTCTCAGTAAATTTCTCTTTATTTCTTGTAATTTCATTTTTTTTTTGTTCATCCGACAAATTGGTTGTATTAGTTGTTGTAAAAGAGGTTGATACAACTTGATCATTTGTGCATTCTGTATTACTGCTTTGATAAATATGTTTTATAGTATTTCTAATAGCGCATTTTCTAACAAAGGAAACATCTCCACTATGAGTAATGTCAGCTGTTATTCCTAAAAAATTTTTTAAATATATTTTATTATTTGTAAATAATTTTCTTTTTTTTCCTTCACTATCTAAACTTGATTCAACATAAAGAAGTATATCATCCTTTTCCTCATCTATAAAAGGACTTAAAAATATCCAGTGCTTAAAATTAAACTTAAAAACATATAAGTGATTCTTTGTTAAAACAAAAAATAATAATTTTCTTTTATTTTTATTTTTATTTCTTCTAAATATATTAAAATCATCGTCTGATTGAGAATCAGATTTATCAGATTTATCAGATTTTTCATTTTCACTACTCACATTTAATGAACCACTATATTCTGAAAATATGTTAGATTCATAAGACTCTTCATAATCCTCATCTTCTTTTTTCCTTTTTTCTTTTTCTTTTTCTTTCATTTCTTTTTTTAACTGATCGCTTGGTGTTATCTCTTTGTAGGCAAAAGATGTCATAATAATATTTTTTATGTTCATATAATTTTTTAAATTATTTGGTATAATATTATCTTGTAATAAATCAACTCTTGTTTCATAATCAGAACCAGATAAAAACTGAGCATACGATATTATTTCATCGCGAAAATATTTATTTAAGCTAATAAATATATCATATGTTTCATAACTTGCATTATTTTCAAAATTTATATAACCAAAAACAAAAAAGTTATCATTTATTTTACTTACGCATATTCTTGTTATATCAACATATTTTTTCTCTGAATGTATAATTAACTTTATATCCTTATCTTCTGTAATATCTTCTTCGAAATTATCTGGTATATATACTAAATAAAATTTATCTAAACCTAATGCTAAAAAGTACCATTCTATACCTAATAATAGTTAAAGAAAAAAAAAAAAAATAATTAAATAAAATGAACAAGAAAAATAAGAGTATATATATATATATATATTTCTAAGATTTTTATTTTTTACTATTCTTCCGTATATATATAACAGGAGATATGTGATATATTTGTTTAGGTGACTTTTTTTCCAAAGACAGTTGATTCTGAAAAACTATTCGAATAAATATCAATTTATAATAAAAAAAAAGGGAATGGATAATAGATTTCCTAAATAATATTTTATTTATATATCTCTTATAATTTATAAAGTATAATATAAAATACTTCAATTTTTTTGAAAAACACATTAAATAAGATAAAGAAAATAAAGTATAAAAAAATATTGTATGAATAAAATGAAAATTTTTTTTGTGATAAATATATGAAGCATACACTGATCCATAGTGAACATTATGAATATAAATAAATAAATAGAGTAATAACAAAATATTATTTTTGTAAAAAAAATGAAACAAAGAACAATCAACACACCATTTTTGTATTTCACTATATTGAGAAAAATGAATATATATAATTTTTTGTGTAAAATAGTAAAATAGTTGTGACAACTCAGCAAAAAAATATTGTTCCTTATATGATATAATATATTCACTATTTATAATTTTTTTTATAAATTCTCTAGACATAATTTTACAATAATAAAAAAATATATTGTAAAATATTAGCATATTCATGGATTCTACAGATGTTAAATTCTTTTTTAAAATTTCACTATATAAACGAAGAAAGTGTGCAAAAACATTACAGTCATAAAAACTACATTGATTTAAAAAGTTTATTAAAGTTTTTATAACATTTATTCTTAATAAATATTCCTTTAATTGAAAATAATTTTCATTATTTATGTTATTTATAATTAAGCTATAAAAAATTCTTAAAGCAGCATACAATATGTAAGCTTCGTTCACTTCCCCTCTACTACTATTAATAAAAACTCCTCTTTTATTAAATAACAATATATTAAAATTATTAAATTTCTGCTCATAAACAATTTCTTTATCAAAACTTAAAAGATAAGATGAAATTTTATCTAGGACTGTTTCATTAGGATTTTCTTCAGCTAGTGAACTTGATGAAGAATCACCACTGTAAGAATATGAATCATCTAATGAATTTTCTATATTTTTTTTTATGTCTTTTTTTTCTTCATCTTCTATACTTAAATTATTTCTTATACTATTTTCATTATTTTCAATTTCCTTATTATTTAAATTATCAATCGTATCAATATTGACATTTTTTTTTTCATTTACATCCAAGTTAACTTCATCAAAAGAATCCATTTTTTTTTTTAAAACATTTTTGTCATCAATTGTTTTTTTCGTATAATTTGTTTTTAAATATTTGATTGTTTTTTTTTTTTTCACGACTTTAGGTAGGTCGAACATAAATTCTATATTATTGCTTATTTCATTATCGATAAATAAATCAAATGTTTGCATAAAATTGTTACTATCTAATTTAAAAAAAAGCTTCCTTTTTTTGTTATTAACATTCTGAAGTTCTTCGTTTAAACGCTTATATTGTGAAATATTTTTATCTATTTTAATTCTTTCTATTTTTTCTTTTATCTCTTTTTCTTTTAGTTTTAAATTACATATTTTTTTTTCATATCTTAATTTGTTATATTTCAATATTCCAGGAAAATAATTTTCTTCTAGATCTTTTTTTAATCCTGTAAAAATATTATTATGAATAAATATATCTAATAAAGAAAATAAGTTTCCCATATAATGTTTTAAAAATATATACACTTGATCTTTATAATCTAATCTATCATTATCACTCATTAAAAAGAAATATTCTAATATTTTTTTTTTATTCCACTGTTTTTCCTCACGATTGCATATTTTAAATATGTTTGTATTGGCACTACTTTTAAACAAATAAAAATAACCACTAAATATATCAGCTATATTAATTAAAAGACGTAAACAAACTTTTTTATTTTTTTTTATATTTTGTTTCATTAAAGTTTTAAATATATTTTCAATATTACCACACCATGTCTTTTCTACTAATATATCATAATCAATGGTTAATTCACTGAATAAACTGTCTTCATTTGATAATATTTCTAAAAAATAGTATGTTATTGAATTATTTCTCATAAAAGGACGTAAATCAATATATCGTGAAGAAATGCTTAAAAGTTCTACACTTATTTTATTCAGATCAATTTTTTCTTCTTGATCAAATATATTATCATTTTCTTCTCCTATCCTTTTTTTTGAAAGTAGGTATTCACTTTTTTTCTGTAACCCATTTATTCTTGATAAAAATTGATTCATAATGCGTAAAACACTTATAATAGTATTTTTAAAATTATAGTATTCTATAATTCTTTTAACTTCTTCATTTCTCAAAACCTTTATATATATCTTTATACAGTAATAATAAATTTCTTTCCATTTATCATTTACAATAATATTTTTTTCGTGAAGTATAAAGAAAATTTTATGTAATTCTATGTGTTTATAATCATTAAAAGGAATTAAATAAATGCATTTTAGCATTCTTATAATTATATCTTCATTTTTTTTTTCTAAAAAAAAAGAAAAGTGTCTAAAAAGTGAAGAATTAATAAATAAATACATATATATAAATATATTTATATAAATATATATAAATATATAAATATATATAAATATATATATATATATATAAATATATTTTTTTATTATTATTAGAATAAAAATATATTTAGTATAAATATATATATTCCCTCATTTTATTTTATTTCTAATAATAAAGATTATAGCATACCAAAACATTTTAGCAAAAAGTAATTAATATTACTATTCCTGAATTCTTTTTTAACTTTAATTGTAAATTTATCTACCTCTTTTAAAAAAAAAAAACCAATAATATCTAAAGTATATTTTATTATATCAAGTAAGTATAATTCTATTTCATTATCAGAATTATAATAAAAGTTATATATATTATTATATTTTTGTCCAAATAAAAAAGGTAATAATATTTTTAAATTATGTGTATTATCTAATATATATTCAATATTGCTTTTATATATTTCTTGATTTTTTAAAACAACCAATAGCCCACCTAGACTAGCACTTAATAAATAAGGATTTCCCAATTCCATTTTTATACAAATTAACAATAAGTCGATAAAATGAAATGTATTGCACAATTCAAATAAAGTTGTATCATTATATTTACAAATATTATTTAAAGTAAAAATTATTATATTACAAAAAAATGATTTTTTTTTAGAAATTTCTATTTTACTTACATTTATTATTTCTTTTATTTTTTTAAAAAAAAAATCCAAATGCATTTTGTCCCTAATTAAAATATCGCAATGTTTAAAATAATTACTACATAGTTGTGATATTATCATATAAATATCCTTAAAATAATTAGGAATATCATCAAAATCATAATTTTTATACTTATCAATTTCTTCAGTTAATATCTAAGAATGGGTGTAAAATATATTTATAATATTATCATAACTATATCATAAAATTTATAAAAAAAAATAATGAAAATATATCTACACACAAATAAAATATAAATAAAATATAAATAAAATATAAATAAAACTTATAATAAGATTAGAATAAAAAAAAAAATATATATATATATATTAAAATAAAAACAAGAATTAATATAAAATATATTTACAATAAAATTTTAACTTTTAGAAGTCCTTCATCATATGCAATTAAACAGTTTTCCTTTTCTAATGTTAAAACTGATAAAAATCCCAAAATATGTTCATTAAAGGAATTTCTTAACTGTTGGATAACTTTATGCATACAACTGTTGAAACATCCAGCAATAAATTTATCCTTTGGTAAATGGTATAACCCTTGAAATATATTTTCTAATGTTTCAATCTAAAATTAAAAAAATAATATAAAATAATTTATTTAATTTTATATATTAAATATAAACGATAAAGCACATACATTTATAAAAAAATAAAAAAAAAAATATAAAAAAAAAACATAAAAAAAAAAATATAAAAAAAAAAAAATATAAAAATCAATACTTCAGCTGAATTTAGTATAATTGATACTATTATTTCTTCAAAGGCAGCATATATATAATATTTATATTCTTCATTCATTACTAAGTTACATAATATACTTAGAATATTAATATTTAAATTAAAATCATTAATCAAAACTAGTTTTGTAATGGAATAAATAAAAGTATTTCTTGAATCTTCATATTTTTCTAAAACTATTAATATTCTGTCTATAATTTGATCAACCTTCTTTTTTTGCTCATCTAACTTTTCCTTTTTAATGAATAATAATTTTCTGAAATTTACAGGATCTTCATAACATAATGAAGTTAATTCATTTAAAATATTTACATATTTCCAATAAGAATTTTCATGAATAATTATTGCTTCAATTAGATTTAATATATTTTCAATATGACTAAAATTATCGTCTTTATTTTCAATTGAAATACTTAAATTTTTTAATATTTTTTTTATCATAACTTCGATAATATTAAAATAAAAATTGTTTTATTTTATATCTTTTCTTTATAATTATATATATATATTTTTCTTTTTTTCTTTTTTTGAACAAAATATCTCATATATATGTTATGCATTTTTTTGTTTTAACAAAAATTGGACTTTTAGTAAGAATTTTATTCTTTATAAAGATTTAAATGGAATTTGTAATTAAGAAAAAATTTTGTATATAAATAAAATAGAAATGTAAAAAAAAAAAAAAAAAAAAAAAAATACATATATGTATATATATTTCTTTTATAATTATTGAAAATATATTATATATATATATATATATATACATGTAAAGTTAACTTAAAAATACACATTTATGTGAGTTGTAAAAAAAAAAAAAAAAAAAAAAAA